TGCGGACCCCCGTCTTGGCAGGCACGCATCTCCAACTTTTGTACTATTGCGAGTCAACAACCAATATCTGCCTCCATGTCTGTCCCGTTACGTCGCGCAGTGTTATCTGCGTTTTCCAGGGAGAACGCGACATGTTGCTCCTGTAAACATGTTTCTCGTCCGAGACAGTGGCGCATGCAAGAGCAGGTGCGATGCTTGAGCACCACCCCAAATCTACAATCAGGCCACTCGTACGTCGTCTTCGCAATTCAATCGCACACAGCTAACACACTACAGCAAGTGGTCTTCCATTAAACATGACAAAGCGAAGAATGACGCCGGCAAGTCCAAACAACGGTCCATTATGACCCGCGACATCACCAACGCCGTCAAGCTCGGTGGCCCGAACCCCGACATGAACCCCCGCCTCTCCCTCGCAATCTCGACCGCGAAGAAGTCCGCCGTGCCCAAAGCCTCTATCGAAGCCGCCATAGCCCGCGGACAAGGACTCTCCGCATCGGGTGCCGCCCTTGAATCCCTTTTGCTCGAAGCCATCCTGCCGCCCTCCGTCGCCACGATAATAGAATGTCAAACGGACAACAAGTTGCGCACCCTAGCCGACCTACGACTACTCATAAAAGAGGCAGGCGGCAGCGTCTCCACTGTAGCTTTCATGTTTGAAAAGAAGGGACGGATAATAATACGGAAGAAAGATGGCGTAGGCGTAGACGAGGTGCTGGAGCCAGCCCTTGAAGCCGGCGTGCTGGATGTAGACGAGGACGCCGAGGGAAGAGTCGTGCTATACACCGAGCCTGCGTTGACGAACAAGACGGCGGAGAGACTGGCGAAGGAGCTAGATGTAGAAATTGAGGAGAGCGAGATCATCTACGATCCTAACGAAGATACCAAGGTGCCTCTGGAGGACGAGGGTGCGGCTAAAGAGCTGGGCAGCTTCTTGGATGAGCTGCAGGAAGTGCAGGGTGTACAAGGGGTGTATATAAACTGGACCAAGGGAAGCATAGGAGATGATGTCTGGGACGAGATAAGAGGCAAGGTCACTGCGTGATCTGTCTCTGACTCCCCAGCCTGGTGTACATTTGTAGTATACAGTATTGTACAATAACGCCAATAGCGGCGCAGAACGAGCTGCGTCTCCACGTTTGGTATCTCTCAGCAAATATCCACCACCTCAGATCGTGCCTTCTCGCTCGCTCGTGTTCGTGGCTCGGTGCCTGTCATAGGGTGTTGTTCGTGTGCATCCAGCATGCTGTCCTGACCTCTCTACTCCTCCCTGCCGGTACCCAATTCTCTCAATCTCTCTTGCTCCTCCCTCCTCCTCTTGTTCTCGAGATTTCTCTGCTTCAACCTCTCCAATTCCTTTGCAATCTCGTCTCTATCGTACGGGATCTTGTGCGTTTGGCCTGGCTTGGGCCAGAAATCGGGAACGGTGAATTTGCCGTCGAGGTTCGTGCCGAAGTAGTACATGATGCTGATTGGGAAGAGGATGTACATCCCGAACTGGAAAGTCTGGTCAGTGTATGTTCACGAGTATTAGGCTCGACTTGGTTGGAGTGCAGGTGAAGTGCAAGTGGAATTATTGGTGTAGTCGCTTTGGGTTTTAAAGCGCGAGGCGCTGTAGGGATCCTCTCTACGTACCTTGAACACTTCGAGGTTGGGGCCACCCATCGTTGCGGTATCTAGTCGACGTCGTGTGGTATTTGCGGCGCACTCCGGAGACTTTCGCGCTTGAGTGGAGTGATGATGGAGTCGAAGTTTCGCAGATCTGATCGGTGATGGTTCGGCGATAAGAGGTCAGATCTAATCTTCAGCCTTACCTCCACGCGTTTCCCCACTTCCAAGCTGGGGAAGCCGCAACCTTCACATGTGTCTGCAACCTGGGATCTTGTGAACCAGACCTAACCTCAAGCTATTCCCATATCAAAGCCGTATTCTCATCTTCATAAGTAGTGAAGACCAACTGCCACATCCCATCCATCCATTCTGTCGCGCTCGGTTGTCTCAACAATGTCTATCCCATCTCCGCATTCTAGCCTCGGCTCACTGACATCTCAACTAAGAATCTCTCAAGCACTCCAACTAACATAACCACGCCTCACCCAAGTACACGCCCACGCTCTAACACAATACCCAACATCTCAGCTCTCCACCATCCAACCCACCACCACCATGTCCTCCCCAAACTCCCCCATCCTCCTCACCTACACCAACAAAACCGCCATAATAACCCTCAACGTACCCAAAAAGCTAAACGCCCTCGACGCAGACACCTACTACCTACTCGCGCGCGCCATGAACGAAGTCGCCGCCCGCTCCGACATCTACATCACCATCCTCACAGGCCGCGGCCGTTTCTTCAGCGCAGGCGCAGACGTAACCTTTGGCTCCACCACCGACAGCAGCGCCATCGACGAGCGGCACCAGTACCTAAAGAGCTTCGTATCCAACAACCTGCACATCACACATGCGTTTTACACGCATCCTAAGATACTCATTACGGCGCTGAATGGACCGGCGGTGGGACTGTCAGCGGCGTTGATCGCGTTTAGCGATTTCGTGTATGCGGCGCCGCATGCGTTTTTGCTTACGCCGTTTAGCTCGCTGGGGCTTGTTGCGGAGGGGAATGCGAGTATCGGGTTTGTGAGGAGGTTGGGTATTGCGAAGGCGAATGAGGCGCTTATTATGTCGAAACGCATTACATGTGATGAGTTGGTAGCGACGGGCTTTGTTAATAAGGTCATCAACGCTGGCGTCGATGTCAAGGATGAGAGCTACAGTGACAAGTTCCTTGGGGAGGTTAGGAAAGAGGTTGAGGAGAGACTGGGTGATCACCTCAACAGCGAGAGTCTGGTGCTCATCAAGGAATTGATTCAGAAGCCGTATCGGGAGGCGTTGGATCGGCAGGGCGTGGAAGAGGTGATGGGAGGTTTGCAGAGGTTTTTGAAGGGCGTGCCGCAGAAGGAGTTTGCGCGGTTGGCGAGTGGAGAGAAGAAGCATAAGTTGTAGGGTTGGTGAGGTAGTGTTAGTAAGAAAAGGGAGATCTACAGAGCGCACTTGTCACGGAAGAATGTTTGGTAGTGGTAGAAAAGTGTAACGATGAAGGCGTCTGCCTCATTCCCCTTGGGTTTCGCATCCACTTGTGGAAGACATCGCATACGTGGACGCCAAGACCCAATGGGAATGTGCCATACGCTTTGATCGTCATGCTATAGTCTCTAGCCTAACGACACACCCTCCGTAGCCAACAGCTCTCCACCCAGTGCATCCCCTTGAGTAGGACTCGCAACATCCACAACCGGTCTACTTGCCGTCGTCGTGCTATCCGCCAAATTCTCCAGTGGACTCGGTCGATGCGGCGGCGGTCTATTCCTCTTCTCCTCCTGCAGCTGGTGCTGCACATAGCTCGTGTACCGTAGCGCAACGAAGAGCATAAACGCACTGACACCGACTGTGATGGCTGCGCGGCGGGTAAGCACCCATCGGACGCCCTCGACCTCGGATCGCGCATCTGAGTTGAGCGCGACGGTGATTTTGTAGTTGAGTTCTTGGATCTATAGAACATTACTGTTAGTAGGTTGCGCCGGAGACGAAATGAGATGAACAACATACCTTGGTCTCCATGACCCTCTGTTCCTGCCTGACAGCCATCTTCCTGTCGTCGAAAAGCCCCTTAAGCTCGTCTCTGAGATGAGTCGTCTCCTGTCCTAATCTCTGCCCTAGGATATCGACCTCGTGTTGCAATTGTCCTCTTTCCGTGCGCATCCTCTCCATCTCGCCTTTCTTCGCGTTGCCTATCTCCGTCTTCAGTTCGCTGCACGCGGCCCGGAAGAGGTATGTTTCGTTCTCCACATTGCTCTTGCTGACGAGCTCCTTACGCGCCAACTCCATATTGTCCAAAAGGGTTTGTCGCACGGCTTTCATTATGGTAATGGACTGCTCGGGGGTATATGAGGATTGCGAGAGTTTGCGCACGAGACCGTAGGTATCGAAATGGTGGACATATGGTGGTGTCTTCAGGTGCGGTGCCTTGTGCGACTCTTCTTCAGCGGCGGTGGGAATGTGCAGCACGCTGTCCACTGGTTTCGTATCGCTTTTCTTGGGAGGATCAGGCGCCGGCGTTGTTGGCGGGGCGGTTTCCTCTGTTGCGCTTGCTTGAGTGGGTGTGGTTGGACTGGTTGTTGCTGTTGGCGCATCTTCCTCTACTTCTTCGTGTTCGTGAACGGGGTCTTGCGGGGGCTTCTCGTTGGACACAGGCTCCTTTTCTTGAGGTTCTTTAGGGGGCTCTTGGTCCAATGCTGGAGCTGCGTGCTCATATGCCTTTCCATATCGCTGTGTGCTCGGTGGCTCCGATCGGCGGGGCGAAGTTGTGAAATGACGACGTGCTTGTCGCGTGCGGGAAACCGATGGCGATGCACGCTCTTTTGTTATCGACGCGCCTGCTCGTGACGATTTGGTCGGCTGAAATAGCATAGGCCATAGGAAAGGCAGTCTTGGAGCAGCCATGTTGTCGTGTCGTGGAAGTTGCGAAGTTCGAGCTCGAGTGGAATCCTCAGATGCGACTTCGGGTAGTATAGGCCTTGGCGGGGGATCTGCCATCCTGAAGTGGATATCCATGCCGAAGCACCACATTTCGACATCGGAGGAAAGGCATCATCTCAAACTTGTTCTGTCATAAAAAACTGCACGATCCTGCTGACACTGCAAAGATGTATAGAGCGGTCTTTTGAAGTATTCTACAGACACGTAACTCATGATCTTAATTTCTCTAACTCGTAACCGAAATCTCGGTCGTCTTTCGTCATATACAATATCGTAAAAGCAAACAGAACTTTTTGGCCTTGGCCTATGCTTCACCAGCAACTCCACGCAATGCTAGTACTCAATCTCCTTCTCATGATACCGGAAAATCAACAAACTTTTGTGAGGTCATCAAACCTCTGGGTATATGTATATGTGTAAGACTTGTCGCAACACCGGAAACAAACAACTTTTGGTCTACAGTATCAAACGTCATGCGAAGAGCTGCTAATGGAACTGCGACTAGTCCCATCAGTGATATGCGTCGCGATACTCATGCGCTGGAATGGCGAGATTTGGTTTTGTTCGCGAGACGGCGGACTTGACAGTCCCTGACTGCCTGCAGGCGACGAAGGTGGTGGGTGGCTTGGTAGAGCATCATTTGCGCCATAGCGTTCTCGGAGACGCTTGATTTCGCGAAGTCGGTTACGCCAGGACGATATGGAATCGCCACCCTCGCGGATGTACCAAACGCTGGCAAAGACAACGGCGTTAATAGCCATGAGGCGGCAATAGTCTGCCAGGTACTTTCCGCAAAGAATTTTAGTCTCGACGGCAGGAGATATGTCGGGGAACCCTGGCTTTGAGATGGTCTGGATCTTGTAGTAGCGATTCCTGCCGTCGGGATCTGCATCCAGTCGACGGTCGACAAAGCTGGCCCTTGACTCTGGAGAAATGACAATATGTACATAATTGAAGGCCGACGGGAACGTGTCGAAGTTGTAAGGTAAGCCAGAGTCGTTGAAAATAATGTTGACAAAGTCGTTGCCGATGTGCCGCTTTTTGTTCGGATACGTCATGTCATCGTCGGGGTTGGTCGGCATCATTGTAGGAATGTGGAAGACAAGCTCCATGCAGCGGTCCCGCCAAGCATAGGTGAACTCGCCGTCTCTGTCTTCGCGTGTGTCGAGACCACCAGTATTGAACTTTGCCCCTTTCAGACGGCATAATGTACCTAGGTCACTAAGGAAAGCAGTATATGCTGGGGATCCCATATCGTTCATGAAAATGTCTCTCTCGTTCGTCTGGCCCTCGCCGATGTAGATGACACCTATTTTGTAGTTGTCTACCGTTGCGATCCGGTCGAATACAGTAATAGCACGGCGTGTCGGCTCGTCATCGGGTAACGGAATAGGTGGATTGCTCAGGTCGAGTGGGGCGTAAAATGACTGGAAGATATCGTCTGGCAGAATGCCGACATATGTGTTGGAGTAGAATGCTTGGGAAGCAAGGCCGATGGTGATCGGAACTTGATGTCGTGGTGGCGACGTGATCAAGGGCCGTACTTTGATAAAGCGGGTGCCGCACTGCCAAAAGTTAGTAGATGTACTGACAACACACAAGCAGAAAGACTTACCGGTCGGCGTGTCGTGACAACAGAGGCACCGGTTCTTGCAGCGGTCTCTATTGTCACAAGAGCATTACCAACGATCCATGTCTTCTTCCAGACTTCTCCATCGCCAGGCTTGAAAGAACTTTCCTCGCGTGTTGTTTCATCGCGATCTGTATATGCTACCATGTTCATAATATCCAGAATGACCTGTCCTTGCTCCTCCATAATTTGCCGTCCGGAGCTGTCGGTATAGTGTAGATTCTTTGTGATCCATGGTATCTGCTTTGGGCGGTCCTCCATCTTCAACGCCATGAACCAAAATGTGATGACGTAATACGCGAGGGAATATAGATACTGAGGTAGATCGTCCTCGACGCTTCTTGGCTTGTTGGCCCCAAGATCGGGCGATGCCGCAAAGTCTCTTGATGCGCCGCTGTGTCGCAATGTCCGATGCCCGCTTTGTAGCGAATGCCCGTTCGCTGTCCGGTCACGCTGGTCGCGTATGTGTTGTAAGTACCGGAAGCATACACCGAAAACTAGCTTGAACTCGTCTTCGCGGAAGTTCTTGAAAAGTTCTGGAAGACGAGCCAAGGAGGTGAGGAATTCCAATATGTGTATCGCTGTAGCTGGCTTCGTGATGATTTGCGACATTTTCTGGACGATGCTATCGAGTGACTTGCTGATCGATAGTGGTATTTCGAAACAGCAGACTGAAAGTGCGTGGATGCACCATTTTGACGTTCTGTCCCACTGCACGATCCCTTGTAGGAAGGCCTTCACAAGATCATCTTCCTCGCTCTTTTCGAAGTACTCGTGGTAGCTGATGATGATTGTTAATATATGAAACAGGCAGACGGCAACATCAGCCTTTTTCAGGAGCGTGTGCGGTGGTGGTTCGTGGAAGCTTGCATTCCGTACTTGTTCGCAGAGAACATTTCGTAACATTTTGAGCTGGGCGACACAACTGCGGACCAACGCTTGGTTGGAGAGCTGAGGCCCAAGATGAACGAGTACGTAGCTATAAATCTCCCAGTCGGGTGGTCTCTGTAGGAGTGAAATGATCAACTCCAGCCACAATGTGACTTCCATGTCCAGGATATCATCGCTGAGAGGGTATTTCTCCGCATCAATATGGGAGAAGACGACGCGACTAGATTCAGATGGCGGTTCCTCGGGAAGTCCTTTGGGGCCAGGGTACATCCACAAAGGAGGTATCGGCTTTGATACGCGGCCCGCGGGGGCATTCGAGCGGCCGGTGTGGCGATTGAGAGAAGAACGAGGACTTGAACCAGAGGTTTTGCGTTGGTCCCGCCACGAAGAATTGTCTTCTGATCTGTTGTGATCGGATGTTGGACCATCTTCAAATTTTTCTGGCGCAATAGCTGTTTCCTCTGTACGGCAGAGCTCTGCGGCAATCCGCTGACCTTCCGATGAAGAGCTAACTATCAAAGCATGGCGAGCGTCGGCGCGCAAACGAAAGAGTAACTTGAGAGCTGTAAGGCGTGCATCATGCGCGTATGCATCTCTTCCAGCAATCTGTCTTAGGAGCTCGTAAAGGATGCGTGTCTTTTGGGCCGAATGTGTCACGCTCCGAGTGAAAAGCCGTACATAGGCAGTGGCGATGACGTTACAAGGGGAGCATCCATCTTCTTTGAACAGAAATTGGTGAGACTGCCATGACGGTAGCGAAGGTGTAGATGCAGTCCGTGGGCGGTCCAGACGCCGCTGCAAGACTTGAACAATCTCGGAGAACCGGGCGGTCGATTCTCGATCAGCTACGTACACCGCGAAATCTACTAGTTCCTGCAGAACTTCGATGTCATCTTCCATTTCAATCCGGTCCACAAGGAGTTCTTCTGACTGCGATACTGTTTCGCTGGAACACAGCATCTCGACGGCCTGGTTAGTTTCCCGTAATGATCGGAGCACAAGCAGTCGGAGCGAGCGTGGCCGTGTGGTGTCATTGAAGATGCCAGCGACCAGTCGATGGCAGAGGTCAAACCAGCCGGCATGGGAAGGATTGAGGTAGCGTCCGGTTACAAAGTACTCTATCACTCGATCCGCGGTCGCGTCGCTTACGCGGTGTGAAAGGTGCAAGAAAAGCTCCATGACACTCTCGCGTTGGATGAAGTCAAGTGCGTCGCTGATGTGGTCTAGTTTGACGAGAACTTGAAAGATGCCGTCCTCTGGATCACGTCGGAAGAGCTCCTGGTGGGATGTTGCATCTCTTTCATAGAACCCGGAGACATCGTTGGCATGCTCTGGTCCGCCTAGAATTCGTCAGTAAGGGGTATCCTGTGATTGAGTGTACACGTACCAGCATTGGACAGACTGTCTGCATGAGGTGATATTTGTCTTTCAAGGACGTCCTTCTTCGCACTGCTTGCATGATCTGTTGATCTGGATGCTCTGGCGCTGACACGCTCGTCGTCACGCTCGGCGCACACACGTATGACCTGCAGCATGTCCCCCAAGTCACTTTCAGCAAGCAAGAGATCCCTCATGCCTTCTTGGGCCAGAACCGCATCTATCAGACTTATGATTATCTGCTCTTGGTCGGTGCCTGGTGTCCTGATTGAAGCTTTCAGGGCTGGGAAGAGCAAGGACATGGGGACCTTGGGCAGCTCGTTGCGACCATCTTCCAGAAGCAGAAGGCGCAACACCAGAGTAGTGCCCCTGTACATGCTGTCTAGTTTCTTCTTGAGACTCTCGTTTTCCAGAGTCTCCCGGGATGGGCCATCTAGAAGCAGATGCAGCAATTCAGAAATGGCAGCTTGTCCGACATGGGACTTGAACAGGTTGCTCAGCGTGTTCCAGGCTTGATCCTGGAGATCGGTGATCCTCTTATGGATTTCACACAGAACTTCGAGACAGGGTCGCAGGGATTGCTTAGGTATGTGCACATAGGTGATTATTGTATCGAACAGCTTGACGCCACATTCGACATCGGGGCGATGCGTCGTGGCCCTGCAGATGGAGACGGTGCGTCGTACGAGGAGGTCCAAATCGTCGTCGGTGAAGACTTTGGCATTGAACTTGCAGATATCCGTGGCAAATTGGAAGGCGCGAAACATGTTTGCGACTTCTGGAGGAGGATTGGCAGCACTCCTCTTGCCGTTGGACTTGCCCCTCAGGCCGCGGAAGGCATCGCAACTGGCCTGGAAGCAGCTATCGAGGGAGGTCAGGATGAAGGAGACCATGCCCGACTCGCAAGAGTCAATGTTGCGCCCATCGTTGGTGAGGGTTGCGATGACGTCGAGCCTTCTGTCGAAGTAGCGATCGTTCTTGCGCAGACAGGCGGCGTCGAAAAAGAGAGTGCGCTCGATGCTGGCCAGGTCGGAAAGCGATGCGCAGCTCTTGAGAAGCCTGTACCCCGCCTCTGCGACATCGTCTGGCTGCTCGGGCAGGAGCAGGTCACTTGCGACCGACCACAACGCCAGTATGTTCTGCACCGGATACGCCTCGAGGATGTCGCATATCTTGTCCACAGCCACGACGCGCTCGGCGAACGGGCGATTGCGCTGCAGCTGGTCTATCAGGTCGTGCAGCTCGGGAGGCCCGCCCGTCACAGGCTTGCCCGTCCGCTGGCCTGTGACCTGGCTGATGCGCTGAAGGGTACCGTCGGCTGAGTGCGGGCTAGGGATGGAGCCGGGTCGGATGGTGCCCAGCGAAGGTGTGCGCGCAGGCGTGCTGGTGGCGGACGAGACTGAGGGCGGCGGCGTCGGGCTCTTCAGACGGCCGCCGGTCAGAGAGCGGAAGGCCGTGAAGAGCGCCTGGGTGGAGGAGCGGCGGTCGGGCGTGTGGGGGACATGGTCGGCCGGCGGAGACATGCGTCGGTCGCGGCGGCGCAGATGGGGTTTGCCTGGTGGAGAGTGCGAAGGCTCGACGACTACGGCGGAGAGGGCCCAAGAGGATGTCTATGAGAGTAACGCAGGCGCATTGAGTCTATCATGGGTGCTGGGCGGCGGAGAGGCGGGGCGGCTGGGGGAGCCCATCTGGGGGTGGAGAGGGAAAGGAAGGGGTCAAGTCTGGCGGGAAGGCAGCGTCGTAGCGGACTCGACCTTGCTAGACAGCAGCACGGCATCCAGAAATCGAGAGCAGTCGTCGCCGGGCAGGGCTGGGGTCATGGCCCTGATCCCTGCACACAGAGACAGGCCCTAGCGCCGCAGGTGGGACACCCCAAACAGCAACCATCGGCCAAACGGTCGAGCTCTCTGTCCACCAGCCACCCGTCCTCTACATCTGCAACCCTACGCCCCCCTCACGATGGCTGCCGATATCGCTACCCTCTCGCAGCTGCTCCAGGCGTCGCTCGACCCGCGGCAGAACAAGCAAGGTGCGTAGCAGTGTTTCCCGCAGTGCTCATGTGGTGTAGCCTGCATTTCTGGAAAGAATGCGCGTATGCTTGGATAGAGAAAGACTAGCCTCTGTATAGCTCAGTATATGCGCATTCGTCTGGTATCCAGACCACCATCTTGCCCCTCCAACCCCCACATCACCCAGCATGTAATGCTAACTTTTCACAGCGGAGGCCGCAATCAGCGAAGAGCAGAAGAAGCCCGGCTTCTCCCTCTCCCTCCTCCAGATCGTCGCCTCGGACGCGAACCCCCAGACGACCCGACTGTCGGCCGCCCTCTACTTCAAAAACTTCGTAAAGCGGAATTGGGTCGACGAGGATGGCAACTACAAGCTGCCCGAGGCCGAAGTCGTGGCCATCAAGAGGGAACTCATCGGCCTCATGGTCTCGGTACCCGCAAGTCTGCAGGCACAGCTCGGTGAAGCCATTAGCGCCATTGCCGACAGCGACTTCTGGCAGCGATGGGACACCCTAGTCGACGACCTCGTCTCGCGCCTCACACCCGACAACACCGTTGTCAACAACGGCGTACTGCAAGTCGCACACTCTATCTTCAAGCGCTGGCGGCCGCTGTTCCGCTCCGACGACCTCTTCACCGAGATCAACCACGTCCTGTCCAAATTCGGCACTCCCTTCCTCCAGCTGCTCGAGAACACCGACGCTCTCATCACAAACTCCCAAGGCAACCCTCAGGTCCTCAAGAGCGCCTTCACAACGCTAGATCTCCTGGTCAAGCTGTTCTACGATCTTTCCTGCCAGGACCTGCCCCCCGTATTCGAAGACCACATCGGAATCATCTCAGGCCTTCTCCACAAGTACCTCGTCTTCGACAACCCCGCCCTACACACCGACGATGACACCGAGTCGGGACCGCAAGAGTACGTACGGGCTGGCATCTTCGAGGTGCTCATGCTCTACATTCAAAAGTATGAGGACGCATTTGGGTCGCACCTGGGTCCTTTCATCGAGAGCACCTGGAGTTTCCTCATGTCGGTGGGCCTCGAGACCAAGTACGACATCGTGGTCAGCAAGGCGCTACAGTTCCTCACTGCCGTCGCATCCACACAACACGCCGAGGCCTTCAACAACGAGTCTGTCCTAGTCCAGATTATCGAGAAGGTCATCTTGCCAAACCTTACTCTGCGCGAGTCTGATGTGGAACTATTCGAAGATGAGCCGATTGAGTTCATTAGGAGAGATCTGGAGGGGTCCGACAACGATACGCGTCGACGTGCTGCCACTAACTTCCTGCGTAAACTCATGGACCGTTTCGAAGGACTTGTCACGACTACTTCCCAGAAGTACATCGACGCCTATCTCCAGAACTATGCGGCCGACCCCCAAAACAACTGGAAGTCAAAAGATACCGCAGTCTACCTCTTCACCGCCATTGCTGCCAAGGGAACCGCTACTGCTGGCCAAGGTATCATGAGCGTCAACGAGAACGTCAACATTTTCGAGTTCTTCCAGACACACGTCGCCGCTGACCTTCAGGCTCAAAACGTATCGCCCATTCTCAAGGTTGATGCTATCAAGTTCCTGTACGTCTTCCGCAGCCTACTATCACCAGACCTTTGGCGCGCTGCTTTCCCCCTGCTCGTGAACCAATTGGGCAATGACAATTACGTCATTCACACATACGCTGCCATCGCTGTCGAGCGTGCTCTGTACATGACAGACGACAAACGGCAACCCATAATACCCAAGTCAGACGTTGTTGGCTCATCGAAAGACTTGTTGACGCATTTGTTCAAACTCATCACAATGAGCTCTGCCCCGGAGAAGATCCAGGAAAACGAGTTCTTGATGAAGTGCGTTATGCGCGTACTTATCTTCATACGCGATGATGTGCTGCCCATATGCGAGTCGATTCTTCAAAGCTTCATCAACATCGTCAAGGTCATCAGGCACAACCCTAGCAACCCTCGCTTCCAGTACTACATGTTCGAAGGTATAGGTGCACTTGTCCGCTTCTGTGCCCCAAAGCATCCTCAGTTCTTCGAGGAAAAGCTTTACGAGCCCTTTGCAACCTGCTTGCAGAACAACGTTGAGGAATTCTCTCCGTACATATTCCAGATCTTCTCTGCGCTACTAGAAGCAAACCCTTCAGGCCAACTTAGCGAATACTACAGGGGTGTATTCGGCATCATCCTCAAGGGTGCGGTCTGGGAGCAGCGTGGTAACGTCCCTGCGTTAGCCCGACTGTTGAGTGCAATGGTTGCTCGCGACGCACAAAACATCGTGGCAAGCAGCCAATTGGAGCCTATTCTGGGTATTTTCCAGAAGCTGGTCACTAGCAAGGCTCACGAGACATATTCGTTCGAGCTGATTGAAGCTGTCGTTGCGCATATCCCAGCGGATGCGCTACAACCCTACTTTGTCACCATCCTCCAGCTTATGCTCACAAGACTATCGAACATGAAGACAGAGAACTTCCAGCAGCGCTTCATTGCGTTCTACCACTTCGTTTCAGCTCGACTGGACAAGGGGCTTGGCGCCGACTTCTTCATCAAAGAGTCTGATAAGGTTCAGAATGAGTAAGTGAAAGATTCTCCAAATTGTAGGCATCAATTACTAACTTCGCAACAGCATCTTCAAGCCTATCTACTTGACTGTCATTCTTCCCGACACCCAGAAGCTTGCCCGCCCAACCGACCGCAAGACCGCAGTTGTGTCGTTCACCAAGTCTCTGGGCGATGCGGAAGCTTTCGTTAGCCGTTACCCCAAGGGTTGGGCCCTTACCACACAGCGCTTGATCGAGCTACTGGTTAACCCGCCTATGCCCACTTCCGCAGATGACATCATCCCCGATGCCGATGTCGACGAGCTCGGTTTCGGTGTCGGCTTCACCCAGCTGAACACCTGCAAGAAGGCTCCACGTGATCCCTTCCCAGAAATCACCGAAGTGAAGCCATGGGTGGCTCAATATTTGAAAGATGCGGATGCCCGTCACGGTGGACGTATCGTCAAGATTGTGCAAGAACGGTTGGACGATGTTTCGAAGCAAGCTTTGGCTGCTTACTTGAGCTAGAGCAGCGGGCATATTTAAGAGGCGCTTTAGAACATATGAGAGGGCAGGTGCGCATGATAGCACGCGGGGTTAGGCGCAGGTAAAATAGTGGAGCCGGCTTTCTAGGATTTAGGACATGATACCAGGTAGAGAAAAAGTGGTGGATATTTTCCCATGAAGGAACGAAGCTGAATACATATCGCAATGGCACATCATGTGCACAACCAAACCTTTAAGTCTTATCAAGCGTCTTGCACCTCATAGCTAACCTTAGTAACCCCCTTCTGCCTCTTAACATTCCTCAAAACAACCCTCCCACACTCCTTCAGCCTCTGCACATGCGTCCCGCCACACGGATAACTCCCCTCACTCCCTATCTCCACAACCCTAACGCCATCCTCTTCATCCCCCTTCAGCGTCTCCATAACCCCCGTACACTCCTTCTTCGCCTTTTCCTCATCCCAGAAATGAATCTTGACGTCCATGTCCGCGGCAACCATCTCATCGACTCTGGCTTGGATTGCAGCTTTCTTGTCTCCCGGAATGAGACCCGAGAATTCTACGAATGCGGCGCCGGGGTAGTGCGACGCTTTTCCGTCGACGACGTCGGGAGCGATTATGCCAGTGGTTTTTAGATGGGCGACGGCGAGACCGATGACGTGGCCTGCGGTGTGGATCCGGGAGTGTAGGTGGCGTTTGGCTGTGTCGATTTTCTGCTCTGCTTCTGCTTCCCCGCTTTCTTGGAATTTCTGGTCAGAAGGAACAAAGACGCCCATGTGCAGGATCGCGGGATCGACCTTGCGGACTTGGTGCACGTGGAATGTTGTGCCGCTGGCGGAGATGGTTCCAACGTCCGAGGGTTGACCGCCGCCCTGGGCGTGGAAAATGGTTGAGGGGGTGGTTAGGACATAGGGTTTGGTTTCTGGTGGTGGTTTGAAGAGGGATTGAGTATCTGCGGGTAGGGATGACAGGGCGTGGATTGAAGTTATGGCAGAGGTGTGCGTGTGTTTTTGGCCATCTTTTTGGTAGAGGGGATCTGTTCTTTGGGATAGAGGGTCTGCCATCTTGGTGATGGATCGAGAGGTATCAGAGATGAAATCTGTGGTGGTTTTATCGTAGGTGTGGCGGGTTGGTGATGCCCGTTTTGTTGTTTGTGTAGTAGTGCCGCGGAAGAGGATTGCGCACGCTGTATACCTAGAAAACCTACAGCACATGCGACCTTCTTTATGCTCGCCTGCTGCGACGGATGTTGAATTGAGTCACTTGAAATTATGGAGGGCCTAACAGCCAAAGGAATGTTCGAGATACTTTGGAAGCGTAAAGTACGGGTCAGAACTGCGCCCTTGAGGTCTACATGCGCTTTACCGCTTTAGGCAGGTACCAATTCCTGTCCTGACGTCTTCTCTTTTTGTACGTCAAACAAGAACGTAGCATATGGATGTAACCATTCAAATTGCAGAAACTCATGAATTATTGTATTACATCCTCAATCGCCGCAGTGAGAGGGGGTAGCGACAAAAGGTGCTGCGTTGATGATACCGTTACCAAGACCTGTTCATCTTCCGACTTCGGAATATTTTCGTCCACAGAACTCTGCGTCCTCAAGCGTCTTGATAGTCACAAATCACGTTCCACCATTGGTTTTCAGCAATCAGACCATCCAAAGCAAATATGGCCCCCCATGGGAAGACGCGCCGTATGCCCGCTTCTTCACAATGCTGCTGCAGGATATCTTGCAAGTCGAGCTTCGCACCCCACTTCCGCGCCATCACCCCGATCGCCAATGGCTTCATGACTATGGTGGCCTCAAAAGTCCGGTTGTCGTTTGCGCTGCCGGACAGACTCGTGTAAGGGCTCAAGAAGTCGATCGAGGTGTATGGGAAGAAGGAGCACTCTTCCCAGGCTTTCGTCAATAGCCCTCTTGAAGTTTTCACTAGTCGGTCTATCGTAACTGTCTCTTTGTTCCAGTGGGCGTTTGTACGAAACTGATAGGTCGAGCGGCTACGGCCAGTGGTTGTTGGGGTGACTAGTTTGCTCCGCATCGAGTCGCCTGGTCCGCCGTACTCATCGCATTCTGAGTGCACCGACACAAGAATTCTTTCGTCAGCGAAGAGCCTCTCGATGAAAGCATCAACACAGTCGATGGAGATTTTTCGATGCAATGTCGGTAGCATGAAGTGCACATAGGGGCGTTGCCGCTTCTGGTACCAGCCCTTGCCAACAAGGAAGGTGCTTGACTTCTCGAATGGTTGAGAGCCGCATGTGAGAATGCCGTACTCATGTAATTCGATTAGTCCATGTACGATTGGTGCAGTCTCTTCGTCGAGAGGACCAAGATGGCCTGGATTGACGTCAATTTTCCCATGAAGAAAGCTCAGGTTCCTGAAGTTGGTATTTGGCGTCAGTGTACATCTAACATGCAGCTTCTGCAGCATTACTCACAGACATAAGAGAGACTCCCAATCTGGAGCAGACTCCCACTGGTCCTTCCGTCCCTTCCAACGGCACCTTCTGCACAGGCCTAGTTCGCTTGATAGGCCAGCATAAGGTATAAGTATGAGACCCCCATGGCAATCGAGGTTAGTTGGCGCATCGCAGCTCGTGCATGCAGCCATCGCGTGTTGTTGTTGCAAGACTGTGACTCGATCAAGGTGAAGGGAAAGAGAGAAGGAGAGGTGTTGCGGAGTCGAGTGGATGCACATTCGCTTGTTTATCTACTCTCACGTGTTGATTGTGTGTCACCGATGACGCAGGCAGACACTTCCCCATCCGTCGGCCCTCGCTTCCTCCATCGCTATCGCTATCGCACCTTCTCTCACCTGCTCATGCCACCTTCCCTAGCCCCAGAGCGCAGAAACTAAGTTCTGAACAGGAAAGCCGCGACGATGCACATCAGATAAATAACAGAACGGGACGAGCTTACGAAAGATACTTGGTAGCCACCTCGCGCCTCAAGGTCGCTCGATCATAACGCTGGCCGCCCTCATTTGACCAGTGAGCAACCACCGGGCTCTGCGTCTTCCGCCCCTCAAAGATGCCATGCGCATCAGAACGGCTGGTTTCCTGGAGAGTCTTGTTGGCTATCGGAGTATCTTTGTCGAGGCTCGAGAAGTTATCGCGCTGTAGGGGCCTAGTCGAGAAAGCTTTGGAAAGCCGGGGGTTGAGTGGAGAGGGAGTCTGATGGACAGACGGTACGAATTGGCGAACGCGAGGTCCCAGAGGTTGCTTCACTCGGAAGGGTGAGCCTTCGATGTGCGCGTTGACAGGACGGTGATCATGAGGTGCTAACTTGCGCATGATGGGTGTCTCTTCTCCTGAATACGTTGAAGCACGCGGAGTGGATGGTTGATGTTCGTCGCCTTGATATCCCTCGCCATCAATGTCCATCGCGTCCGCCACTTCGCTCTCGGGCCAGACCTGCTCGGACTTTGTAGCTGCGGTACCCTCTGAGTTCTGGATTAGGATGAAGAGCCAGATCAAAGCGCCTAGCAGTGTCGCCAGGAAGAGCGTATAAGCCTGACCATTGGGGTCAAGCACCCAGTATTCCAGACAGCTCCCACGGAAGAGGTAGGCGAAGAAACCTTTGGATGAGTCGATAGCGTCTTGGACGAAGCGCTCGAGACGAGTAGGCGGCTCATGATTGATCAAAAAGCCTGACATGATGTTATGAGGCAGCAGTCAATTCTTGGTGATCGGATCAAGTGGTGGGAGAATGGACTCAAAAGATCAAATGAACGGAAGTTATAGGCGACCGCGAGCGTTTGTTGTGATGTATCGGCGCGTGATTACTGCACGGTCCTCTTGATTGAGTGAATCAGTTGTTTCTTAATTCTTGTCCATGTCTCATGTGATGAAAACCTTTGATTTGCCACGTAGTTGCTGTGACAACAACTGCATTCTTTCAACGCTCTTCAGTGATAACCTCCCAAAGTTCCAAACATTGCAGTAGTATAGCGACATCTTGATCTGCAAAAATGCCGCCGTGTACTACATGGACCCTGGGCATGCCCCAAAACTGCCGCATATCGCTGTCACCATCTTAGCTCCAACCAGCCTTCCCAAACGCCGCATTCACTGGCGGTCTCTTTGACTGCGGCCTCGGTAAATTGCTTGTAGGAACACTGAACAGCGGTCTCCGCACTGGAGGCACCTCCTCCGGTCTTCTTGCTCCAAACGCCCGCTCCTCCACGAATGGCTTTTCCATACCTTCTTTCTTCCACCTTTCCTGGACCCGGTTGAACTCCATACCTGGTGGAAACATGGGGGTCTCTTCGCGTTTGTGTCTGTATGGCGCCGATCTGAATGGATCAGCGGGCTTTGGCGTACTTTGCAGCCGGAGGATGAAGCGGATGAGTTTATACACGACTCCGATACTGATTGTCAGGAAGAGAATGTGGAAGAAGCGAGGATGTTCATCGTATAGTGCGAAGGAGGCAAGGACGACTCCAGTCTTGAGCTCAAGCCACACTAAGAACGCGAGGATGAGTGCTCCGATGTTTGGCAGTAGCTGCTTTGCCGGTTCGAGCATTACTTTCAATAGGCCATGAGATGACGCGCGCATCCAGAGAAAGGACATTGTAAAATTGGGTTGAGGGGTGTATGTGTCTGGCCGCTGGTGGACATTTAAGGAATGCCTGTGGAACTAACGAGAAGATGAATCTTTCACTAGACGCGTGAGCTTGCTTTCACTAGAGAGACTGGCCCTTCTGGGAAGTAAAGAAACCCTCATCCTCTGGTTCCGCTGTTTTCCTTTACAATGTCCTCGTAGCCTCCATGAATCTTCTACATCCACACTATACACCCACGTTTGCACCGCAGTTTGTCATAACAACGCCACCACAATGTCTCTAGAACAGGTCGATATCGTGCTCAACATGTTCATCCTTTCACTCTTCCCTTTTCACATCGCTCGATCTCGGTTCAAGTGCGTGCAGCATGGCCCCCACTCCGCGCGATCTTGAACCAAATGCCATCGACCATTTTTTCACTGTGATGATGGCGCTAGCCGTCGCTTTGATAGTACTGCTCTTCATCATCATAGTTAGATATGAGAGGCGCAATGCCTCGTGGATACGACGCGGGCTGAGGGCTGGGAATGAGAACTGGTTTATTCTTAGCTATGGAACAGGTATGCGAGTGGCGCATGTGGATCCTGATGGGGTAAGTGTTGGTTATGAAGAGATAACATGAGCCGCGGAAAGAGGTTTTGCTGTGTGGAAGAGTAGTCTTTGGCGCGATGTATGTAGCGAGGTATGTATAATGCTTTCGCATCTCAATCATGTATATGAAGGATTTGTCTAGCTTGGAAGCATGAGAGTATCAATGTGATGAATTTAACATACACACAGCCTCGAAATCCAGCGCATCAACATCATCACAGACTCACACTAACGGTATATCCGAAGGTAGCGCAGACCAAGAAGAAAGTCAGTCCAGCAGCCAGTTTCGAGCATGATCCCGTGTGCTCTGTTGCGGAGTTGTCTCCATCCTTCTTGACTTTCATCGTCCCTGTCTACGCGGATCGGGAGCGTAGAAGCCTGTAGTCGAGGTAGTGGTTGTCGGTCTGCCTCGCTCCACCTCGGTGCCTCCTCTGTCCGCACTTCCATTTCCTACCGCAAGAGTAGACATCACGCTAGCTAGCGACTGGCCGCGCGGTTTGGTGGGCGCGCTCGGAGCGCTCATGCTTCCAGCACTCGTTGTTGTACCATTCTGAGCTGCTGTATCTCCCTGTGTAACATCCGGTAGCTGCTGACCGCGCTGTACCGGCGACCGCGAGTTCTTAGGCGGAGGAAGAGCACGATACCGCTTCCTAAGCTCCTTAAGCCCAAGTTCAGTTGTAGCAATCAACTCTTCTTCTGTTTCGACGGCAAGCTCGAGTTCGTTCCATAACTTCTGGACCTCTTCATCCGGTTGTGAGCTCTCGTTGCCCCGACTCTCTGGTATTCGTATAGGGAAGAACTCGGGTTGTGGCTGTGGGTTCTCGTCGGGGTACATTGGCGACTGGGGTGGTGCGCCCTCGACGTGGGTATACAATCCGACACCTGTTATGTAGGGGGTTGTGCCG